AGACAAAACAAGGAACAAACTCTGTAAATCACTTTATCTTCTTGCATGGAGGAAGAGAGAACCTTTCTCCATTTCCCTCATGGTTTTACCTGGACTCCTAAAATAGTTTGATATTCATGAGCCTTTATGGTTGATTCCTACAGGTTTTTAAACTTCCAGTCCTGGGTGGTAGCTTTTCTTTCTCTCTAGTTTGTAGGAGTTAGACTTCAACATTTCACCCAAATCTTTCATTGCCTGCCAGGGATGTGGAAGGAGCCTGAATCAATTGAGGAGACCTGTCCAACCTTTGCAGTTTTCCTCCAGCAAACCTCTAATAATTGTATGTTTAAAAAAAACTATAGCAAGATGACAAGCTAACAAGCAAACCAGTCTCTAGAAACAAGCCCAGAGCTGTCTGTGCCTTACTTTAGAAATAAATGTGTTGGCACCTTTTATTGTTGAAGTTTCAAGGTAACATTTTAATATTCTCATCATTGTACTAGTTGAAGCTTGTTTAAAAGAAAAAGAACAGCTGCCTCTTAGCTACCAGATTTTTTTTATATTGATTAGCCTGATGCCAGCATTGGACTAGGCTGCCTGGATCTTCTTCCCACCTGTGTCTGCCCTAGGTTCTATTTATAGGGCATAAAAACTATTATTGATGTTTGTTTAAATAGTATTTCTAAATTAATTATAAGTTTATTGATCACTTACTAACCTGGTTGGGATCTCATTTATCCAAGGTATTTAATGGTTCAAGGTCCTTTCCTTTTCAACCAGAAAAAACACCACCACAGCTCCATCTACTTAGAGCCAAATTCTATAAACACTACTGTCAAGTCCAATGACCACTGATGTCTCTCCATGGACTTTAATAAGCACAGCATCTGATAAAGGGTCTCTTATGTTACACAGTCCTAAACAGTATCTTTAATTTAGGATCAAGATTTGAAATGGCATAAAATGTATCCCAGGTTTAAGAAAGTCACTGGACAGTCTTCCTCATGGAAAACACTACCTGCTTCTGCAAGGTAAATTTAGACGAATCATTAACCTCTTCTTTATACAATATGCTAAATATCTAGTACCAAGAATTGTTAAAATCTCTTCTTTGCCTTGGCTCCTAAAGTCTTTTGTCTATTGAGCTTTTGCTCAACTAGTAAATGGCTTCAGAAAAGTGGGCAGACTAAGGTTTAATCTAACTGAAGCTGAATGAGCAAACCTCTTAAGGCATTTTTACTGAGAGAGAGTTTGAACCAGTCCAAGTTTGGTGAAAAATGTCACAATACTTTTTCCAAAAAAAAAAAGAGATTTCTGCAGTATGGTAATGGGGAATCTCAATCTATTCTTCCTGCATAAACATTCAGGGCTTTAATCTACTGCCAGGTAACTTTAAACAGAGCATTCTTTTAAATGAGGCAGGTATCTACGTTCAATGTTTTTATCAGTGACCGTTGGGGAGTATGTAACGGTTTCCTTGCTGTCCTAGTTATTCTGCACAGGTCATTCGTCCATGCTCCCTCTGAGCAGTAATGAACCTTCTAGTAGAATAGTTTTTCATGTAATCTGTGTTGGAGAGCATGTCCTTTCACAAGCTTAAGACTGGATAATTAGTAGCGTAGGGGTATCAGTATAATCAAACTGACTAAAACTTGAAAGAATATCTTTATAAATGGCACTTCAGATCTGTTTGCTAACATGACAACTTACAGTAGTTTCTACATTTACTACAGAAGTAGTGGAAAATGTTTTACTACAGCACTAAAAGCATGTAGGGTTCAAACTGTAGTAAGTTTTTTACAATTACTCCATTAAGACAAACTGTATGTTTGCTTACAGTGAAATCTGAATAACCTGAAGACAACTTTTGGAGGTCCAAAAAAGTAGTCTCAACCTGTGGCTGCCCTCAGTGCAGTTGTAGCTGGTTGCTCTGGCAGAGGTAAAGGTAGCTGGCCATGATGCCACTTGCAGCATTCCTTTGCATGACCTCAGTGACAGAAACTGCCATGCCTTAACCACACTAGTCCTATGGCTTGCTCGGATCAGCAAGGCATTTCACTTTTCTGACATTAGGACCTAAAATAATGTTTTTGTCATTTGAAGGATCTCCTTATGTTACCGATTGAAACTTTCTTCAAACCTGGCACTTCCAATCAGACATTTTATACATTTTAAAGCATTAAAATGCATTTCCTCTATAGTAGTACTGCACTGAACTTCTATCACACCATTAGAAGTAATCCCACTATATAACTTGACTGTCAGTTTTGGTGGAGACAAGGTTCTTTGGGTGAATCTGATATCTTTTATTAGACCAACTAAATAGCTGGAGAACAATTTTTTAAGCTAGCTTTTGGGTTCAAAAATCCTTCGTCAGGCTAAGGAAATCTCAGCAGTTGATGTGTGCACTTCCTGGATGGACAGCCTACACCTCTGTAATTTTGGTGGAGAAAACTTGTACCACTAGATGGCACAGTTGTCACACATGTACAGCCTGTTCTCCCTGTTTATAACTGGAGGCAACCTGGAGATCTGTTAGCCACTATAGGTTTTGCTTTTATAGGCCAAGATACCAGGAAAAAAGATCTAGCCAATTTAAAAGTCCTTAAACAATGCCAGAAGCAAACCATGCAGGCAGCAAAGAACTGTTATGTGTAACTCACGCACCTCCGCCAATGAACCTTAGTGCTCTGACGAAGAAGGAGTGTCTGAGAAGTGGCAGTCCACTCCAAAAAAACAACAGGTTGAAAGACAGGCCAGTGTTTTAAAATAAAAATTGAAATCTCACAAACAAATGTCAAATCACTAGAATTAATTTAATCTGGGCCTTAGTTTTTAGTGTTTAAAGTTTTCCTCCTCCCAGGAGATTTTCTATACACTCTAAAGGATTATCTTCCACTGGAAACGCATTCCAAATAGTCTACACACGTTTGAATATCTTTCTGGACACATACCATTTAATCCTTTTTAAGGGACAGATATCTGCACTTGACAGCTAGGAATCTACACGCTAATTTATTGTAGGCAGAAGCAAAGCTTTATTTCCCAGTTAACCCACCCAGCAGGCATTTGTATTAAGTTTAAACATGGCCATGACTCCTTCAGGTGGACAAGAATAGTATTACTGATAAATTCAACTTGCTCTCTGTGATCACGTACAAACTTTTAGAATGTATTTGCCAACCCAGGCAGAAGAAATCCATCCATCTCCAATTTTTTAAAAGTTGACTTTTTTTTTTTAAATATCCCTGTATTTTTGTATTGAAGGCTTAACAATGACATTGGTTCAAAGGTAAAGTTTTATTATTGACTATCAGTGTCTGCAATACGTGCACTTCACAAGCATGTGCCTTTGTTGGCCTGGGAGAACTTACTGTAATGTGAGCATGTATTACATGACTGATTAAAACCTGTGACCTGATTTTAAGCATGGACGTTGTATATTCCATTGAGAGATGTATAGTAGGTATGTTTCAGCCTATTTAATGAAAGCTTTAGACTGGGCACTGCTGTTAACACATACCCAGGAAGGCTACACTTTATCTTCTCTCACAAAATAATTCAGTATCAAAAGTAATTTATGTGCCAAAGCCTACTTCATGCATCATTTATTAATCACAAGTCTGATTAAAAAGAAATCTGCATGGGGTCACCAGTTCAGTCAGTTCTTATGCAGCTGAAATAACATTTGTTTACAGCATCATTTATAGGGCAACAGGGAAGTACTCATGATGATTAAAGGAGCGATGAAGGAAAACCTGTCTTGCCTCTAAGTGAATGACCAGTCAATGGCAAATGGCTGAAAGTTTTGAGGCTTTAAGTTTTCCACTCTGAAGTTCTCATTAAAGCAAGAAGCAAACTGGGACTAATCAAACTTGACAGAATGGGTTTGTACTTGTAACTACAGTAGAAAGGTGGGACTGTAAGGTTGTAAGAGCAAGCCAATGCATGATCATCACAGCTTCTGTTGGATGCTTTTCCTTCTGACTAAATGTAAATATAAATGGCAATTTCTACCCATCTGAAATATTGAGTATCTTTATAATAGTTATCACACAGAATAAACAAAGGAGTAGCCTTTTACATAGTTTTCACCTGTCCCCATAAAATTGTCTATGTATTACATATCCATATGCTACATACAGGCAACTATTCCAGTGTAAGCAGGAAATAAATTCTTTAGCTGGATAAGTCAAATAGCCTTTCACCTCCCTTTCCCCCAGGGACTGTTTACCAGCACAAATCACTTTATTGTTCAAAAATCTTGCCTGCCATCTTGCCTCTGATAGCAAATAGTCTCCAGTTCCTCAGAGAGAAAAAGCCCCACACTATTTAAAATTGTCCCTGCAAATTTATAATAAGTGTAAAACCCCTGAAGATGATCAAATGTCACATAAGAGTTTCTTTTCCTTATTTAGAATGCTAGGATAAAATTGTTAGACATCATAAAATGATGCTGCCAAACTTTTAAAAGGTTATTGGTATTTAATTACCTGAAGCAGTGAAATGTGGTGAAAACTATCAAATATCTGGGAGAGGGGGGAGGGGAGTATAATTATCACAATGCTCTTGCAATCTCTAACATGCCTTTTTCTCCAGACCTTTTCACTAATATGCTTTCAGGGTCCTTGCAGTCTCTCTTAAGGTATGGCATCCGGGGAAATGTTACATCTTACTTCCTAGCCTTTCTTTTTAAACCTCCTTGATAAGACTTTCTCACACACTATCTACAATGACTTCCTTTTGCCAGTAGCGTATAACGAAACACAAAGCACTTTATTAATCTGTTGCTGAAATGCACAGTAATTTGCCTGGCAGTATCTTGAGGAAACACAAAGTTTCTGTGTAATAGCTGAACTATTCCACAAGTTCAGAGCACATTGGCGCACATAGGTTTAGATTATTTTCTCTAATATGCATATCCTATATTGTTATTCAAATTTTACCTGCATTTGTGCTCTTCAATTTCTTTGAGTCCAATCTAGAGCTATTTAGTGTCATCTTAAATGTCCATTTATCGCTATTGCTGCCTGAATCATTATAAATATCTATCTCTGTACTGAGTTCTGGAGCACTCCGTTATTAACTTGTATTATCTTTTTTTTAAATGAAGATCAGACTTTGCTATGGCTATTTAACTTCTTTAAAATTAAAAAAACCCACCTTTTGTAAGGCCAAATAAATAGTCTTCTGGCTCAACTCTGTCTAGTTTGTGAAAAAACTTATTATGAAAATGTTTAAAGGGGTCTGATGCCTTCTTTCAGAAGCTCCATTACTTGTACTTTTAATAAATTAGAGTTTATTCAGCTAATGTCACTAGTAGGAAATAGTGTCATCAGAAAACTTCCTGGCCACAAAGCAGCCTCTGTGTATTCTTTGTGCAAAATGTCGCTATCACTTTTTTATTATTTTTGGTGTCACCCCTATCAGGACAGACTAAATACTATTTATTACGGAAATTTCCTTTTGTAGTATGGACTCCCTCATTTAATCACCAGGATATCTTTTGGTTCATGAAGTGCATAGGCAGGTTAATGAATTTCCAGCTTGTGTGTCCACTGGCTGTTTTTAAGGATAGATGGCATATATACTTCTCCCCCTCATTTTTTAACACTATATTTCTTTTCAGAGCTCTCAGGGCTAGTCTACTGGAAGAAACCACCTTTATACCATTAGAACTGTGTATACTCTAGCATTTGTACTAATATATCAGTAAATAAATAACTAATATCATGCAGTTTACATTGGTACAAATACTGTGTTTAGACCAGGCTAATAGCCTGGTCCTCCTTGCCAAAAAGGGTGTGTAGTTGTTACCTGAGGTTAAGTAACACTCAGGCAGAAGCACAGCAGTGAAGATGAAGCAGGGCAGCCTTATCCTGATATAAGAGGTGTAACCAGGCAGGGCAGTGTGTGATACTAACATGCCTTGTCTACACTCCTGCCTTGATACAGCTTATGCAAGTTCAAGCAAACAAAAATAACTCCTCCCCTGCCACCTAAAACAAAAACAAAACAGAGCTTTGTTGCAACACTTCCTAAGACCCTTGATATTTTGCCCCCTCAACTTTTGCAATGACTAGCACTCTATATAGTAGGCTTCCCACCTTGCTATTTTGAATAAATGAGCCTTTTGTCCCATCCAAAAAAACTTGTATCAATTGCTAATAACCCAGTTGCCTGTCTAGTTGGACATTCCCTTTTATTTTGGTTATTTCTTTTTTCTGTGAAAGGTTCTCTGGCTCCTAATGTAAACAGAAGTTGTTCAGATGTACTCAACTTCAGGCTTCCTAGTTCACTATTCTTCTAGTCCCCGCGTGCAACACAGGTAATATTTCTGAAAAACCTGCCTGCATCTTTGAATAGCGATCGCCCACTAAGTTAAGCTTTCGCTTACAGAACACATTTTTCCTACCGTTATCTCTTCCTGTAACAATCTTAATCTTTTGGAGAGTTGTTGTTAAAATATCATACTAAGCCAATTGAGTGCCATAAAACCAGTGCAGGAAGTCAGCTAACCATGACATTTCTAGTACTGATCACGTTATGCCTATGTGTACCATGAAACATGAAGCCAAAAGCAAGTGGCTCCAGGGACAGTCAAAATTGCAGGGATTCCAACAGTTGTACTTCAGCAAGTTTTATTTATGTTAGTAATGTAGCAAAACTGGCTTGACCCCTGCAATTACACTATTTATTATACTCTATGTCATTTACCCGACTAGTTCTTACTCTTAGTTTGCAATTATATTTCACCCTCATGAATTCCCCTGTTGTAATGCATCTTGATACAGGTCAATTCCAGGACAGATCCCTCCTGTAATAAACAGCATTACAATTATCTGTGCGCTAAATGCACTCCCTTTCTAGCTACTACCTCTTAGCTCCCAGGATCCTGTTTAGGGAGGGTGGCAAGTAAGCATAGCCAGTTGTTTGTTTAACGAATGTGAGCCAAAAGATGTAGTTTGCCAAGTTTTATTATGCTGCGGGTGGCAAGCACTGACTGAGCCCAGACCTGGTATTTTTGTCTTCCCCTGGAGTTAAGGTGGAGGAGAGGGAAAAAAAGTGTAGTTTGCTAATTAAAAAGTTGGGGTTTCCTCCTATTTAAATCAGAGGCAATAATCATAATAGCAGCTAGATTGAGCCCCAAGTGATCTGGATTAGGAAGTCACCAAGTGATTTATGATAAGGTTATCCAGTACCAGTATGCCGTCTCTACACCATTCAGAGCTGGAGTCTACCACCTTTAAGAGTAGTATGCTACTGAAATCAGGGGTCCTCACAGGCTGAAGTACGGCTCCAGGAAAGCAAAGGTAGTAGAATTTATCCCTAAGATGGTAAACTCTTCAGGACACGGAGCCTGTTTTTGTACTTTGACGTGAAGCACCCAGCACGCGCTCCATGTGGTATAAATAAAAAATAGCTTTCTCTTTTACGTAGTAGGAAACTCTGTGCCCCTGTGCAACACTACAAATAGTGTATAAATGTAGTAATTAATCCTGAAGTTCAGTCCTATACAAGTTAATTTTAAAAAGCAGATCTCAAGGTACCAGGATTTTGCTGGGAACATTTCAGTGAAGTACAGAAGATACCAGGTTTTCTGGTCATTGTGTCCTTCACAGCAAAATTTCTAAGTGCCCAGAGGCCAGTATAAGTCCCCTCCCCCCTTTTAAACTAGTTTTAAATCAATGCAGTTTTAGATCCCTGTGTATTTGTGCATGTTTCTGAGTTACTTTATAGCTTCTGAAAACCCACAAAGTAGGAGCGTTGTCTGATAGCCACTGAGGTGGGTAGGTTTTGCTTTTTGCCTCCGAGGGGGTGGTGGAGTGAACGGTGGAAGGAGGAAAAGATTTTTACAGGGTTACTCACCACCAAAGGAATGGAGCAGATGAGCACTACCAGAGAGGTTGCAATGAGCAAAATGACCATCTGGATCTCTGCTCCAGCCATGCGACGAAAACTCCTGTGCCTGCGAAAGTCGGACAAGCGGCTGGCTGTGTTGTCCGTCCCCAGGGAGGTGCGGCGCATGAACTGGCGGTGCATACGAATCAGGGCCACGCACACCAGGATGTTGCAGACCACAGTGACCATGATGAGAAAAGAGCTAAAGCCAGCGTACATGTAGGAGAAGGCAGCATGGGTGGCCACCTTGGTCCGCCAGTCTATGAAACACCAAGTGCAGGGGTACTGCAGGGTGGATTTGCCCAGCCCCATGCTGGGCAGGGCGCAGAACAGCACGTTGGAAACGTAGATGGCGAAGAGCGTGAGCCCTGCCAGCTTCTTATCCACATAGTGGTTGTAGAAATAGGCATGGTTGATGGCCAGGTACCTCTCGATGGACATGGCGCAGATGATGCTGAGGCCCGACAGGCTGAAGAAGAGGAGGATGAAGGAGCTGTACTCGCACAGGGCCGCCCCCCCGGGCCACCGGTTCTGCAGGTAGGTGGCGATGGTGACAGGGCTGACGAGGCAGGTGCCCAGCAGGTCGGTGATGGCCAGCCCGCACACCAGCGTGTAGAAGGTGGTCTCCTTCTGTTCCCTGCGGGACTTGCGCAGCACCACGATGGCGATGAGGTTGCCCACCACGCCGAAGATGAACATGACGGTGGGGATGGTGGGCGGCTTCCCGCCCTCGGGGCTGCCGCCCGTGCTGTTGTCCGAACAGTTGCCCGGCGCGACGGACATGGCGAGCAGCGGCGGGAAACCTGCGGCGAGCCCCGCGCTCCTCGCCCCGGCCACGGCCATGTGCCGCCGCTGCTGCTGCGTCCCGCTCCGCGCCCGCTTCAAGTTGTCAGGCGGCCGGGAGGAGGCGGCGAGGCCGCTCC